TCCATCACCAAGGTATAAGACTTTGTCTTGGGTCCTTCAGCACTTCTCCTGTTGACAGTCTCTACGTCGTAGCAGATGAGCCTTCTCTTGCCCAACGCCGTATAAAATTACCTTTACAATATATTACAAAACTATATTCTGACGAGTCTAATCCTGCATTTCATTGTGTCTTTAATGCCCTCTACGAGGATTTATACACCAAGAAATCTTCTCTTGTTCCGCCACTTGGGCTCAGAATTAAACCATATATTTCTGCTGCTGGCATTGATCTTGAAACAATATCGCCTTCCCGTCTTCTTTCTTCTCCTCCTTGGCAATTGGTGAGGCCAGACGTTGACCTAATACTCACAAAGTATAAAAAATCAGAAACTAATGACTTACAACATAAACAAGAATATAATCAGTTAAAAAGTAAATATAATACTTATTTACAGATGGCGCAGTGCCTTGTGCTACTGTCTTCCAGATTACCCAAGGAAAGTTCAATTTTCACAGCAGAAGCAAACGCAATACTGACAGCTCTTAAATGTATAAATAGACACTCTAAATATAAACAATGTATAATATTTTCTGACTCTCTTTCTTGCCTTCAGGCTATTAAAAATCTTTCTTGTAAACATCCACTTTTACTAGAAATTATAGAATTATATAATGATCTTGCAACTGGCCAATACGACATCGTCCTCTGTTGGTTACCCAGCCACGTTGGCATTTCTTGGAATACAATGGCCGATCTTGCTGCCAAGGCAGGTAGCAAAGGCACTTTAAGTCCCCATGGTCCCTATGGTGATCTACCTTCGGTTGTTGGCGATCACTAGCCCATTTATCCATTGTATTGTCTAAAATAATTTTCTACTTTTAAAAATAATGCTAGCTAGTTTTACTCTTTTTGTGATACACTAGTTATTTTACAGCCCGTCGATGACTGGTTATTTAATACTTGTATTTATTGTGTATGTACAATGTTTCCCGTCACTATATGGCTGAAATATTGCCGGGGTGACGTTCAATTTTAACTCACTAACTCACTCATATTCTGGCAAATCAAGCAGTAAGGTACCATTAAGCACACACAAGCTTTGAATATTTTTGTTCCCCTCTGGCATTCTTTGTGTTCTAAATGTAACTTAAACTATGGGGAAAAGAGCACAATTCCCTAATTTGGCGGTGGTAAAAGACACTTCACTCTTAGTTCTATGCATATTTTCTATGTATTGAGATATACTATGCAGAGAGATATTTAGAGCTCCAAATAATGACACGTACCATGAATGTAAACATAAATTGTATTCATTCAAAGTGAATGGGTACGATTATGCTTTGTTCTACACATGTACAAGTCAAAATGAAGATTTCCTCAAAACTGGCGACATGGCGTTAGAACACATTAATTTTGTCTGAAAAGAATGTTGGGGATGCATGGATCAACTTCTTGTACAAACAAATGATTTTGGAAGAGGTTAAAACATATCACAGCAACCTCTCCATGTGATGGGCTGACTACAAAAAGGCATACGACTCTCATGAATGGATTCCGAAGTCTCTTCATTGCATTGACCTCCCTGTGCGTCTACTTGATTTACTCAAGTATTTAATGAGTTGCTGGTCGACTCAACTTGAGATGTACTCGCAAGGGAAGGTGCAGACTTCGAAATCTATTCCAATCAGAAGGGGAATCAGGGGGACTCCTTTAGTCCTTTGCTTTTTTGTTTGTCTCTAAATCCTTTGAGCTTTCCGCTCACTAGAGGGGAGGGTTACCATCCTTAGCATAGATCACTACCACCTCTTACTCATCTCCTTTACATGGATGGCATCGAGCTCCTTGCTAAAGGAGATACCAATTCTCCTTGTCGAGTCCTTTTCTAACGATATTGGCATGACATTCGGACTCGACCAATGTAATACCCTTCATTTGAAACATTGCAAGGTAATTAATGATGGATACAGGGAGGAGGAGTTATTGAGCAACTTGTGGAAGATCAGGCCTACACCTAGCTTGGAATGCAAGTTCGAGGCAACCTCCAGAATGCCCAGATTCAAGACAAACTTCGGGTTGAGTACAAATCTCGCTAAAAGAAATTATGGAGCTTAGAGCTAAATGCTCGAAACAAAGTCAAAGCTACCAATACTTTTGCTGTGCCAGTCCTTTCTTATTCCTTTGGAGTAGTTGATTGGACAAAACAAGACATCCAGAGTCTTGACCGCCTGACCAGAAGGATCATGTCTGATAACAGAGCTCACCACCCTCCTTCCTCTCTTAATCGTTTATATATGCCAATCAATTCTGGAGATGGGGGTTTGATTAATGTGGAGGCTTTTATTGTGTACTTTTGCACATATTTATTTGTCAGATGACCCTCTGGTGATGCACGTCAAGACTCATGATGAAAGCAAGAAATTCTACAGCTATTTTAAGCGTGCCATGGTTGTTGGACAAAAAACTGAAATTTGAGGTTGATTTTGTTAATGGCGATGTACTGCTGGACGGTACAGTGATGGGAGCAAACCAGGTGAAGTCCTTCACCAAGTCTGCACAGAGTCAGTCATTTGAGAAACCATTGCATCGTGTGTACATGCAGTGTGTGGAACAGAATGGAAACCCAACTGAGTCCTTCCCCTGGATGAAGTCGGCTGCTCTTAAGCATAAAATACCCCTAGGGGTATATTTGCCTCCGAAGTACATATACCCCCAGGGGCAAAGGGCAAATTTTGGTTGCGTTTACATGCACCCACTGATTTGGAAAATTCTAGTAACTAATCGCATGCTCTGTCACTTCAGTCATAGCAATGGACAGATTAAGACGGCGTCAGGAGAGAGAGCTAATTTCATCCAGGCCATTATTCTTGCTGTTGGATCATCATTTGTAGAGAACGATCAATCTGGATGAAACCTCAAAGCACATGCTGGTGGCAAAAGAAGTTCAAGAAACCTACCATGTTCAGCAATGGCTTCAAAACTTCAGGATGACAAAGGATGTGTTTAAGATCATTTGCTAACTCCTTCATCCCTAAGTTCAGCGTTCTTCACGGGTCAGACAGGCTTTGACGACTGAACACCGCGTAGCTGTAGCCATTTACTTTCTGGCAACACCTGTTGAGTGCAGGACTGTTGGAAACCTCTTTGGCATTGCCCGTTCCACCGTCTGCATCTGCGTCCACGACTTCTGTGAAGCCATTTGTGAAGTGATGTTTGTTGAGATGGTGAAGTTTCCGAGCAGTCACGCACTGAAAGATGTTACAAGAGGACATCTTGTGGGGATTCCCAAACAGTGCAGGAGCTATAGATGCCACACATATTCCGAACATTGCTCCATCACTGTATCATGCCGACTTCATCAACAAGAAAGGGTGGTACTCCGTAATAATGCAGGCACTCTGTGATGATAGATACAGGTTTACCGATGTCTACATTGGCTGGCCTGGCCGTGTTCACGACGCTTGGGTGTTTCCTAACTCTGCGTTGAAGAGATGAGGTGATGAAGTTCACAAGAGCTTCTCATCAAACCCATAATCAAGCGGAGATGGCACTTGTTTTGATTGGAGATCCTGCATACCCAATATCTTCCTTGCTCCTCAAACCTTACTCCAACAGAGGCCAGCTTACAGCAGAACAGTCCTACTTCAGCTATCATCTCAGCAGTGCACGGATGACGATAGAGAATAGCTTTGAGACGTTTCCTGAAAAGACTGGATGTTGACATTGGCTTTGTGTCCACTCTTGTGGCTGCATCTGGAACCGTACACAATGTGTGTGAGACTTGGGGTTTGCCCTACCTGGCGGAGTGGGACATAACAGAGAAGGACACTGCCCAACCAGGATCTGGATACAACGAAGCTAGACTCAATGCAAATGGAAAGAACATAAGGGATGCCCTATCGAGGCACTTTATGGGAGCAGCGTTAGATAATGAACAGAAAACTTCAATGAACATTTCACTTCGCTTTAATCAGTTAAAGCCAAATAACATTCCAGAACACGTTTCTACATTGTTAACGCACGAATAATGTGAAATGCAATTTGATGTAAAACGTGAAACATCACGTGCTTGAAATAAAACATTGTTTGACATTTATGAGGTTATTTTTTAAATGTCGAACTAGAAAGACGGAATCTGGCAGCAAAGAGGAAACAATACTTAATGACAACCAATATTCTACCTTTTCTGGCATAATGTAAGTCTACTTTGATGCATAGGTATGTCCTGACCAACAACCCACCGCTGTATAGTGTTAAAAATACGTTTATATGCATCAAATACCCCTGGGGGCAAATATACCCCCGTAGGCAAATAATTTGCCCTACCTCTGGAGCAAGGGCAAATATACCCTCTGGGGTAAATTTACCCCCGGGGTATATGCGTTTACACGACATAAAATACCCTCATGGGGGCAAATGTACCCCCGGGACAAATATACCCCGGGGGTATTTTGGTGCATGTAAACACGGCTTTAAATGTGAAACTGGGGGCGTTCCTTTTGCTGCTCGGGACCAGTCACTTCCCATTCGTAATCGCCTAAATGTGATTCTAAAACAAAATATTAATATGAAATGTCGACTTTGCAATAAATTCACAGAGACTGCCCAACACCTTGTTAGTGGATGCCCTTCTTTAGCACAAACAGCATATCTTAAACGACATGATGGCATGACTCGTTGCTTTTACTATCGTCTCCGCCATGCTTGTAGCTTTGACTCTTAGGTCCATCCATCTTACGACCCTGAACATGTCCAGGGCGTCATGGAAAGTGATGCTTTCAAACTTCTGTGGAACAGGCCCATATACAGCCTCAGAAGAATTCCTGCCAACAAACCTGATCTTGTCCTCTTTGATAAAGCCTATATATTTATTTATATCATTAAATTTTCTGTCCCTTTTTGACAGCAATGTGATTAAGGAAAAGCATTTGAAATGTCTCGCGTGCATCCAAAGTACACTGTCGCCAGGCTCCCCATTGTTCTCAATGCCCTTGGTTTGGTACCTCCTGATCTCTTGGCGCAGATCAGGAGAGTGCCCGGGTTCTCCTCCGGGAGCACAGTCCTTCTGACACCCTGGGTAATGCAGTAGGCTGCAGTGTTGGGGAGTCTACATATTCTCCGGAAAGTTCTTGGTGGGTTCGACTAGGCAGCGTTTCCTGGGAGAAGACCCATTCGCTGTCTGGGCTGCGTGTAGAGGGGGCAAGGGCCCTGAACTGATGATGAGCCTTACCAGCCTGATAAACATGATAATAATGTGGGTATTTATATAGCTGTAATCCAGGTACTAATACCTGCTCATGGCGCTAGAATACTATAGGAGAAAATATCCAGGTATTTGTATACCAAACTGCATTAAGTTTAACTGGAAAGTGTGGTTTTGTTATCGGCGACAGTAGCGAACATTTCAAATTGACCTATTACCGTAGCTGTAACAAATATACTTTGTGGGTTATCGGATTGTTTAAGCATGTTGTATGTTGGCCATGGTGGTACCATTATCCAACAATACTGATAAAATAGCATTTGCTAATGAGAATGAGTGATATGTGGGAGTGTATATACCAGAAACATAAGTGAACATGGGTTAGGTAGCCCTTCCTATGTCTTAAATTGGTCCTGGCAGTGTGGGAGATGGAAGCCCACATTAGCACACTGACACCATCAAACATATCAACTTCCTGGGTGCAGTTTGCGTCTATGACGTCTGTATACCTCGCCATCTTCTACCAGGACGACACAGCACAACACTAGACGCGTCGTTGAATCAGACACAAATGCTACCACCATTGGTGCCGCTGTTGACGATGTCGAGATGCAAGATGGCACCGTCTGTTCCGACATTCTCTGCATGCCCTGTATAATCGAAGCGGTTAATATTGCCGTGGTCATTCTTTCAGGTAGATGGCGTGCCTGTATGTAGCGGTCTTGGCCGGCGGTTGTAACAAGTGGTTCTACCGCATCTGACTGGTCACCCGAGGTGTTGATATCGGACCTATAGTCTGTAAATGGCGCTTTGGCCACATTAAACATCATGACAACATCTGCTCTGGGATCGAATGCCTCCAAGAGTTGTTCCTTTGTACTTCCTTGAGTCGAAGTATCTCTTCTCGTCGTTACGTTCGCAAAATACATTCAACAGGAAAACAAAACCATGCCCCTGTACATGCAGTAAAGAATGTGTATTATTTCCAGTTAAGCGAAATTTGTCCATTCACGACCAGTGACCACAGAATGGGAAAAGTCAGTTTAAGGCTGCTTCAACGATTTCACAGTTCCTGACTTGTCATGGATAAGGATATTGGTTGATTCCCCTGAAACCAATTTTGTTTAACTGCAACAAATCAAAAAGAGTCATTTTAAGGTTGTTTCAACGATTTCACAGTTACCGCGAAATAAAATTGTGGTTGAAGTGATTGGGAGAAGCCTTAAAATAAGTATATATCAAATCGTCTGTCCCATGACATCTTTTAAACCGTTGTTACATGGTGGTAGGTAGCAGTCTCGGAATGATTGTACATATGTGAGCAAAGACCCTTCACTTTGCAGGAGGAACTGTATTCATTCTGCAGCAATGGTGTTGCGAGCGTGAACACGGAAATGCGCATGGGAATATCCGTAGACATTTAGCTTGTGTCAGCGTGTCGTTTTCTTCTGAGAAAGACCGGAGAGATGAAGCATATATAAATACTCTTTGCCATCGCTTTGTGTGTGAGAATCGAAGATTATGTAGATGTAATCACAGATCACTCTATGTCCAGTATATACGTGCGCATATCTGTGAGAGTGTATATACTAGAAAAAAAAGAGAGCATTGGTTAGAAGCAATGACAATGGATCAGGCTGGTCCTGACACTGTGGGCTATGGCGGCCCATATCGTCACACTTTCACCATAAAACATGTCTACTTCCTGGATACAGTATGCACCTGTGACGTCTGTATACCTCGACATCTTCTACCAGGACGACACAGCACAAATCTAGACGCGTCATTGAATCAGACACGTCTCCGTCGCTGTTTGCACCATTGGTGCCGCTGTTGACGATGTTGAGATGCAAGATGGCACTGTTTGTTCCGATATTCGCCGCATGCCCTGTGTTATCGAGTGAGTGAGTGAGTTAATATTTAACGTGACATCGGCAATGTTTCAGCCATATCGTGACGAGAACAAATTTGACGTTGATAAAAAATATATATATTTTATAAAACCTGTAGTCAAAGGACAGTAAACCAACTAGACTATCACAGTTCCAATTAATACTAGTATGTGAAGTTATAACTACAAGCACTATTTGGACATAATATAAAAACAGGCTATAGATCGCCAAGAACTGACGGTAGATCACCATACTAGGGACCATGGGGACTTACAGTACTTTTGCTACCTGCATGACCCTAGCCGGAGTTACGCCATGCCTTTAGCCGCTGGCGATTGTACTGATATTTAGCCATTATAAAGCAACAAATATTCTACGTTTAAAAAGGTTGGTAGAGCTAAATTGACTTTGAAGTTTTGGGACATACGTACCCTCTCAGTAGCCCTGTGTTATCGAAGCGGTTAACGTTACCGTAGTCGCCCTTTCACGTAGGTGATATGTAGCAGTCCTGGGCGGCCGTTGTAACACGTGGTCAATTGCATCTGGGTGGTCACCCGAGCTGTTGATATCGACCCCATAGTCTGGAAATGTTGGTTCTGGGTTCGCCTGCCTCCAAGCGTTGTTCCTCTATACTGCCTTGAGTCGAATCAGCTCTTCTCGTCGTTACGTTCGCAAAAAGGACACAGGAAAACAAAAGCCTGCCTCTCTATCCGGTTGACGTAGGTATGTGTACATGTACGTGTAATACATGCAATATAGAATGCGTATTATTTCCAGTTAAACGAAATTTGTCCATACACCACCAGTGACCACAAATCAGGAACAGTCATATCAAGGCTACTTCAAAGATTTCACAGTTGTTGATTTGACGTGCATAAGGAGATGTGTTGATTCTTTCTGAAACCAATTTCGTTCAACTGTCACAAATCAAGTACAGTAATTTTAAGGCTGCTTCAATGAGTTTACAGTTGTAGATTTGCGGTGCGGTGAGGTGAAATTGGGTTTAACGTCGTGTTTGAGAATACTTCGCTCATATGACGACGTGCATGCGTGTGTATGTGTATGTGCAGCTGCTTGTACTAGCCCAGACTGAAGCTGGTTTTATAGTGCTAGCCCACTGAGATACCATGTCGCAGTGAAGCATGAATACCCCACTCAGACACATTATACTGACTCCGAGCCGACCAGTCCTTGTTGTACCCATTAATGCCGAGCGCCAAGCAGGGCCCAACAAGTACCATATATTAACGTATTTTGGTATGACGCGGTCGGGGATCGAGGCGGTCAGTTGTAACCACTACACCACGGAGGCGGTCAGTTGACGACGAAAAGAGGAGACATGTTGGCTCTCTCTGGAAAAAACAATTTAACTGTAAAAAAATAGTCAAGGACAGTCATTTTAAGGCTGCTTCAACGAGTTCACAGTTGTGGATTTGACGTGGATGAGGATATGTGTTCATTCTCACTTAAACCATTTTTGTTTAGCTGTAACGAACCGTGCAGTGAGAGTGCAGACCTTTTCTTTGATAGCTAACATACTTCCAAAATCCCATAACTAGGTCTGGTCATCGATATCACGTGGGGGTCATGTGCACGTGGGGCGGCGGGGTAGCCTAATGGTTAAAGCATCCGCTCGTCACGGTAACGACCCGGATTCGATTTCCCACATGGGCACAATGTGTGAAGCCCATTTCTGGTGTGCCCCGCCGCGATGTTGCTGGAATATTGCTAAAAGCGGAATAAAACCAAGCTCACCAACTCAAATTGGATAAAGAGATACAGTTATTGTGTTTTTTCAAGGAATAATTTACCTATGGAGGAAGGTTGGACGACAAATAAGAAAATGCTGCCTACCTGCACCTTTTTTCATCGATACAAAGTGTAGGGCATGTGCAAGTCTGTATTATGGTTTCGCGGTACAGCAGTGATCATTCGATTTTCGAATCCGCATAAAGTTGCAAATGTCATCTGAGTTTTACTGAGAAAAACGTTTTACTGTTTTATTTAGCAAAATCAGTATTGAACTTGATATCTAAATTATTTCACAAAACGGCTTAACAGTCAATTACCTTCCACTGAATCACCCACCTGAGATAAAAGTAAAAAACACGATTGAATCGGTCTTATCTGTTATCTAGAAGAATGCATAAAGTTAAAGAGAGACAGAAACTTTCAACTAAGTGCGACAATTTTCCAACACCATCAACTTGACACACATGGTAATTGATAGCAATGGAACCCTTTCAAGAAAAGGGCAGGGTCAAGTGTACAACTATCTTAACAACGTGCATATGAACCACTATCAAATAGTAATTATGACAGATGTTTGCGGCGACATCAATTGTGAGTATCCTACCCCCTGATGGTACCCGTCATAAACACATGCAAAGGCTAGTCAATGATATGATGCACGACATTGCAAACTTGAAATCACCCCCTAGTAATATGACCTTTGAAGAGTGTTTTACCAATCAGATTTGTATGCACAGGTGTAAACGTGACACACACATGGGTGTCTCACTGGACTCCTATAATTGGTAAATCATTGGAATGGAACTGACTATTGATGGTAATAAAGGATAATTAATTTATATACCTGATGCTAAAGTCAAACTTCTTGGTCAGATTACCTTGTTTTGATCTTGCCAACAAGAGTCATATGCATAAGAAAGTGTGCACAATAAGTGTACTTTGTGATGCTTTTGTTTTTGCAAAATATTTCTTCGCAAATGGGGAAATCCAGCATTTCACATATTGTTTTCTTTTCAGCTAAAAGTTGCTTTTATTTTCTACTAATAATTATTGTTCTGAACCTTTCAATCAGCAGTGGTATAAATTACTGGCAAATATACTGAAACAACCATGGGGGCTTAGCACTGGTGACCATTCGACCATTTGCCAGGTACAAATATATTACTTTTAACAGGACATCATTCTAATCAATACGGTCAAAGGTATTTATTGACAATTATCATGTTTCAAACGGAGTTTTGAGCAGATCATCCAGATCTAGATGCCCTTATATATTCTTAAAAAAACAACAACTTGACATGCTGTTTTGGAGTTGATTTACTGAGTGCATATAACTGATTCAAACATAACATCATTTCTCAATTACAGTGAAATCATGACTTTACACATTTCCAAAATATGATTATCCAGAAAGTGTTTGGTAAAACCACAGAGGGCTAGTAAAATGTCAGTATCGGGTGTGACCACCATGAGCATCGATAACAGCTTGGCAGCAGTGAATAAAGAAAGATGCGAAAGTTGTCTTGAGGAATGTTTTGATACCCTTGCTGAAGTGCCGTGTGCAGTTCTTGAAGTGTCTAAGGTTGCGGATTACGTTTGCGCAAGCGTCGATCAAAAGTACCCCATAGATGTTCAGTGGGGGACAAACCCGGTGATCGAGAAGGCCAAGTTAGCAACTGAACATTGTTTTGCAGGTCCTGTCAAACATGTGCAACGTGAGGTTGAACTTTGTCATGCTCCAAAGATCAACCGTTGACGTTGATGAAGGGAACGCCGTCTTCTGGCAAAAAGTCTGGATTCCCATAGACAATTGCAAACTCTCTGGTCGGTGATTCGGCGCAGTCCAGGGATTTGGATTGTTGTTGATGATGCGGCCCTGGCGTTTGAACGAAGATGTCTCAACCGGATGTAGCCAACCAGGGCGGCGGTGCTAACTCTAGGTCGACCTGACCTGGGTCTGTCATTAACACTCCCAGTATTGTTGTATCAGGTCCAAAGGTTTGAGATGGTCTGCCTGGACACGCTGAAGTGCATTGCCGCCTCATGCTGCGATGCCCGTCCTTGTAAGTGGCCGATTGCGCTGTGTCGTTGAGCTTCTGTCAGTCTTTTCATTCTCTTGTCGTCTATAGTGGCTTAATGCAATGCATGTGGAGTACCATTGATGTGGTTATTTAAAGCCTTCAGTCATAGGCTTCAGCTCAGGGTGATACTCAATTTCTTGATGCACGTGCATTTCATATAGGGGGCGTTTAGCGATTCACTACAGACGTGAGCGTAACGTTACGTTTTTGTTCAACGTTTCTTTTTTCAAACGTTATGTCGTCGGCAACCATTTCCCCACATGTTGGGATTCAGCATGAATGCCAAATATTTACCTAAACTTCAAGTTTTTCCTATGTCAAGTTTCTTTTTTTGAAGAGTATATATTGACTGTTGAAAAACGAAGGCATATCAAAATCACAACGTAATTCAGACGGTTTAAAAGGTGTAATGTATAGTTTATTATTTAGACGAATACGACTTTGCTCTTCGTGAAACAGCTTTAAATTCGATGCGTTACTGTTGGAAATGTGAAAAGTGATGCGATAAGCGAAGCAGCATTTGACAAGCCGTTATCTCCTTGTACACAACACAAAAAGCAAAAGGTGTTGTTTGTCTGCTGACAAAATATGGCACCCGCATAAATATACTGTATCAGAAAGATCGATCATAGATACTGCCTCACAAAGGTTTGCAGATGATGACGAGGAAGAACGCGTGTTGCAGTGTAATGTTTAAATGCAAAAATATTGTACGTTCGCTTCATGTAACATCTTCTGGATTATTTCCCCTTGTCCATGGGTCTCTGTATACGCCATCAAGAGAGGTTCTTGAAGGCTTTGCCAGGGAAAGGAATGACACGCAGTTCCTGTAATGTTTTTGTGTTTGCTGGTCCATGGTTCACTCCACAATATCCCAGTTCCTATATAACAGCATGAAACACATTATCAAATCTGGATTAGACAAACCAGTGAGGGATATTATGATAGACATCCCACACCGTTGCCTACGACGACAAGAAAACACCCAACTGGCCCACTGGGTTGCTTCAAACTTTGATCAGACTGACTGACTGACTGAGTTTAGTTTAACGCCGCTTTTGGCAATATTCCAGCAATATCACGGCGGGGGGACACCATAAATGGGCTTAACACATTGTGCCCATGTGGGGAATCGAACCCGGGTTTTGGGCGTGACGAGCCAACGCTTTAACCACCAGGCTACCCCACCGCCCCACTTTAATCAGAGGTTTTGGGGGACCAAATTACTGAAAATCCATGTATGATTATGTCATTATCAGTTTTAGCTGAGGTACTGAATGACGTATGAGGTTTGGATGCTAGTAGTTTAAAGCTCGTGTTGTGGCGCTGTTAAATTGATGTCCAAATGCGTTTCAACTCAATTACGTGTTCACTATCCCGTGTGGCTGAGGTAAGGGCAATACTACATTGTTTAGTCAAGCTGGGGGTTTCCTGGTAAATTTGTGGAAAAACACGTATCGAATAAACTCGAATACACATGAAACTGCATGCTTCCTTATTTTATTATAAATGATCGACATACATGTACTATTCAACCGACTATACATAAGATAACACACTTCTGGCTGGTAGGTGCCACTCACTGTCACTGTAGATAAGAAGTAGATGACATTTACTCTGTGTCAGTGGTCACTGGGGGACAGGTCCACGTCATCAGTAACATGTCATCAATGGCCTAAAGGCAGACAGGGGAAAATTTTGTCTTCTTATCTGCAGTGAGGTAAATACATTGTCATGAAACAGACGAGGACCAGAATCACTGATGGGCAGGCCCGAGATATGTGTTTAGATAATTATGTTGAAGAACATTTCAAATTGGTTATTGGGATAATTCGTTAATGTCATCAGAAAACCCACCAAGTATTTCATGTCCACTAAGACTACCAAATAACACACTGATTGATACTGCTGTAACCACTTTCAATCTCTTAACGACAATTAATCAACCAATTATTAACGCAACATGTGCCTAATGTTCACTCCAGACAAAATAAACACGTCTAGCATAAAGTAAGGTCTTGTGGTCTTCAGTTGAGGCTCAGCTTTGTGAGGACAGCAATAACAGCAAGCTTCCATATGTGTACCGATAGCTTAGCAGCACCAGATGCTGAAATAGAGTACATTCATGTCAGTGTTTTGCTTGTACCATCTGTAGATTGTCATTGATACAGGCAACAATAATTTTGTCAGTACTTTATGAAATATAACATGTTTTCATGTAAGTATTTCTAAAGGCGTGTTGAAACACAGTTCTCCTCTTTCATTATCCATCTCGCTAAAACCTGTACTCAAAGTAATCATATTCCAAATCATCGCCCACCCTATACCATTCAGTCATGAAATCAGATTCAGAAGGAAACAAAACATTTTTCACTCTGTATTCATTTCACGTTTTCTTAAGGATCGTTGAAAAAATATTCCTTTATCGTCGGAATGCTAAGAATTGTAGACCGAATAATAACACCAGATTGCCTGCATCAGAGCAACCATGAAACATAATTTTCCCACAAATTATCTTTGCCTAAGATGATCACAATCTATATGATGATACCTTTATTGCATGTGTCGCCCCCATAACCTGGGGCGCAGTCACAAACATACTGGTCACTGCTTTTGTCACAGGTTCCACCATTGAGGCAATCTGTATCAGCATCGCATAGTGGCTCTGTAACAAGGAATGCATGATAACTTACAATGAGAATATGATATAAAACTTGCAGCTGCATGACCGTCCCTGTAATCTTAGTTAATTTGGTTCGTAACGCTGTCTTATTTAGAACATGGAAGAAAAACGATTAAGGTATTTGAAATAAGATAATATATTAAAAGCATGCACGGTATTTGCACATGCTTTTCAGCAATTTAATGCATGATCCTCGTGCAATTCATCTGCACAAGGTTTGCAGTTGGTTCCACCAAGTTAGTGGAGAAATCAATCTTCGATGTAACCATACATACTAGGCACATAAAGAAACTGTGCATACAAAAATTTAAAATCTAAATTTATCAAACCTGTGTAGACACATAAGGATTTAAACTCAGAGATTAGTGACATGCATCCAACATGCATGCACGTGCCACGTTCCATGACGTCAGTGGGTTCGTCCTTGAGACGTGCAATACGTTGATGCACGTGCATTCCGGGAATGAGAAACAGAGCAAATGAATGCCACACAATACTGTCACTTTGGAAAGCTCAACCCCTGCCCTTGTGATCGTTCAAAAAATAAACGGCTTTTGAAACGCATAGCATGCCAAGGCTCACGTCTGCACAACGTAATGAGGCCATTGGGATGGTCCGTGGGGGAATGTCTCAACGACAAGTGGCTGCACATTTCCACTGCCACCGGAACACCATTTCTGCACTGGTGAGACGCTACCAGAACACACATGACGTCATCGATCGGCCACGTTCTGGACGTCCACGTTTAACAACGCCAAGACAGGACAGATGGATAAGGGTGACCAATCTTCGCCACAGGTTTCAGACTGCCCGAACAATCCCAGGACTTCGCCGTATCCACCCCAACACAGTTCGCCAACGTTTACGTCATCACAGGATCGGACCACGACGTCCCGCCATACGGCCTATCCTGACACTACGTCATCGACAAGCTCGCCGAATGTGGTGCCGAAATCATGTCCTCAGACCCTTGTTTTGGTGGAGAAATGTTGTTTATACAGATGAGTCCAGGTTTAACATTTCCCATAGTGTTGGACGTCAACGTGCCTATAGACGCGTGGGAGAACGTTATGCACAGGCCTATGTTTTGGAGAGGAATCGCTTTGGTGGTGGTTCCATGATGATTTGGGGTGGAATAACAGCACGCCAAAGAACTCCTTTGGTGATTGTTCAGGGCAACGTAACTGGTGTGGGCTACAGGGATCAAATTCGTCGACCTGTGGCAATTCCTTTTCTGCAACGTCATGGCCCTGGGGTAACATTCCAACAGGACAATGCCCGCCCTCATACGGCAAGGGTTGCTATGGATTTCTTGCAACACCACAACATTGACTTACTGCCTTGGCCTGCAAATTCACCGGATCTCTCCCGAATAGAGCATGTTTGGGACGAGATGGATCGACGTCTACGCCGTCTTCCTCATCCGCCAGATAACGTCCTTGACCTTGCAACAGAACTTGAGAGAATCTGGCGTGACATCCCACAAGCCTTCCTTGCACGTTTGATAGGCTCTATGCGTCGTCGATGCACTGCTGTTCTCAATGCTGATGGTGGACATACCCGTTATTGAGCTTCTGACATGGTCGTTTGACCCATGTCCCGCTTGTGGACTTCAATTTGAATTTCTCTTGACTTGTTATGGTCTCATGATCCCTCCATTAAAGTTTATATGAACCTTTGACATTGTTATCGTACTTATCAACTGGGATAATATTTTGACAATGCACAGTTTCTAGTATATATATATATATACATAACATATAGCGAGTGTTTTAAGTGTGTCTAAACTTTTGATGGGAAGTATATATCAAGAGTCGGGGTATGGTATTCACGGTAATATGACTGTTAACTGTCATAACGATAATAATGTTTTTTATAATTTCATTAATATCTTCTCTCCAAAAGGGAACCATAATCATTTTCTTTAAAGCATTAGTTAGTTTCTCTGTTTGCTGTACCAGCAAAGTTTCAGCTGTATACCGAACGTCTGTAAATACGGAGGCCTTGATCAGACAGTCCATTGATTGACATCTTCAACTTGGGCGCAAAGTCCGGCGGGTTTAGTCTCCATTCGCCTACATCTCAATTTGCCTACATCCCATTTCGCATACAAAAACAATGCAGGATAATTGGGATTAGAAAATGCACCCCTACTCTTATAATGAACCTGACTCACTGGTCAGTGCCATACTAATCAGGTAAATCTTCAAAATTATCCTTGCTCATCTTTAAATTACTTTTTTAACGACACACATTTTGGAAAAAGTAAGCATAAATGGATAATGAACTTTAAAAATATTGTTGACGAAATTGGACTTGGTTATATCTGGAATTCCCAAAAAATTTAACATTTGAATAAACTGAAAACTACAGTTAAATGTAGACTAGAAGATGCGTATAAGCAAGTGTGGTTGTCTACGGTAGAACATTCATCAAAAGGTAACTTATATTGCTCCTTATCTAACATGGATTTAAGTTTTGGAAAATATTGGGATATTTTAAGTGATAATTGTTCAAAGGCATTGTTACGTTATAAAAAAGCAAATCGTAACTAACCCATTGAAACAGGCCACTGGAGCTATATTCAAAAACGTGATAGAATGTGTGACCTTTGTTATGGTAACGACATTGGCGATGAAGTTCATTATTTATTTATTTATTTATTTATTTATTTGTTCTCACTCTATAAATGCAAGAAGTAAATATTTAAGCCATATTTTTATTCCAAACCAAATTTGCATAAAATGTATCCAGTATTCAATAACAATAAGATAGGTATTCTTAGAAAACTCTCTTTTGTCTGTAATATTATTATAAATGTTTTTTTAAGAATCGTTGGTAAGAATACTCCATCTAAATATTTCTATTATCTTTATGCAATCTATGGAATCTATCTATATATATAATGCATTACTTATTCATCTGTATATATGAAATACTCGACTGCACACACATTGTATATAACTATATGGATATATTTAATTGTAACACATATGTAACCTCATATGCCGCTGTCTGCGGCCTGAGTTGAAATATAGTTCAGTTCAGTTCAGTTAAAATAAGATGAAAGGGATTAATGCACAGGCTAAATTGTAAAAGCAATGATGAGATGTAGTTAATTTCTCACTGTAAAATACTCAGTTGTTATAAGGATATGCAGTTGAGTAAAGAGGATTGGTGCATCCACTAAGAAGTTCAAACAATTTTATAATAAAATACTCAGTTTCTGCTACTAATAAGCTTTAAACCAACTTAACCATATAAAATGGAGCGTTCGCCAAGCACTGACAGTCACAATGGCTAACCTGCAGAGGGCAGAGTTCATCTTGTCTCAGAGAGGAAGAAGACAGGTACCACATGATGGCCACAAGTAGCGATTGAATGTTATGAGACAAGAAGCCACACACTGGAAGTGCGTCATAGATAAATGTCAAGGTTAATGCCGTACCACTGGCGACCACATATCTTTCGTCACAGAACACAACCACCCTCCTCTGGTGAATGAAGAAGAGACCAGACTCCTCATCAGACTGAGACAACGTGTTCGTGATGAAGTGAGAATTGACATCCGCACAAGTAAACTTCCTTAACACTAATGTGATATGATGTTATATGATGTGACGTGATGTGAATATCATCGTGATCGGAAAATGGCAAATAGCAGAGTAAATAAATAACAGACAAATAACAGATATATATTCTTTTAAAAAAATTCTTTTTGTCCTTCAACTACTTCAACAAGAAGAGTCCACTTTTAGATCATAGGGGTGCCACTAGTTTACCATTGCGTAATCAACAGTCAACAGACCGTGAAATGTTGCTTTAAAACTGTAGGCGAATTGGGATGTAGGCGAAATGAGAACATGCCGTCCGGCGCGAACATGCCCAGATCAGTTAAGTGACACATAATTTAGGTATATTTGCTATTAGCTCATTATGTCTCCTTTGAAACAAACATGGAATGAGAGATATGTTTACCGAGGTCACATTTAGCTCCACCGTAGCCAGCATTACAAGTACAGACTTCTTCAGGAGGATCCGATGAATCAGGTGCACATGTCCCTTTGCCATTACATGGATCAGGTAGGCATGGATCATCTGAAATATATTGCTGACCGTTACATGTTAAACCTCATTTGACATCATCATGAATCTGTGGTGTTGGGGTACTGTAGTGTAATGGTTATAGCGTCTACCGTCCCGTTGAAGACCAGCGTTCTATTCCCACATGGGTACCATATGTGAAGCCCATATCTGGTTTCCCCCGCCGTGGTATTGCTGGAACTTTGCTCGAATAGTTAAAAAACCCCATAAAATATACAAAGCAGTATGTGTCTTCAGATTTCCATTTTTTATTGTCTAGTTGATGCATGACAAATTTACTATCGAAACTTCGATTTGACGTCCCACTAGATTTGATTAAGTTATTTTTTGCACATATATAATTGTACTTTGATAGTTTTCTATATCCACCTATTGTTTGTTGTGCTATTCGTTGCCTTAATATTACTGTCAGTGTTTAATGCTCTGTGTGCTTTATCATTTTACGTCCATTTTCAAAATATATGTGTGCACTTGAAAGAGGAAAAATACATTTCTATTATCATAAAACAATCTACTAGAAAATACATGATTCTGATTATGACTTGAGCATTTGTATGTGAATCCCTATAAAACAATGACGAGACCAGGGGGTGGCGGTAAGGTCTGACAAGTTTGACACAAAAGTACACAAACAAGAACAAGTGTTTCAGCATTACTTTTTTTTCCTTGACATTTTTAATCGCGTGGTGGTGATAGTTTTAATTCCAAGCGATGACCTAAAACAAACTTTCAGATTTCATTTTCTTTCTGATTAATGTCATGAAAGTTAATAAAAATAGATATGAGTTACCATATTCACAAAGTCACCAATGAAACCAGTGTTGCAGGTGCACGTGTAATCCGTTTTCACAGGTTCCTTGTCCACTGCATGTAGAGTC